AGCAGGACATGCAGTACTCTGAAGAGCTCTTCAGAGGTTGCCATCTCTGGGGCTGGGTGGGGATGTTAAAGAAGGGACACGTGGCTCCTCTACAAGCATTTAAAGCCAAAAGGCTGTCAGGTGTAAGGGTGCTCATCAACCTGTACTCTGGACACCATGTGTATGGTCTTATCCCTCTTGCCCTTGTTGCAGAGCCTGTGCTGGGCCATGTACTTGGGTGTCTGGGGAGCTGCAAGGGCATTTATGGCTGCAAATACACTTCTAGTAGAATAGTAATCTGGTTTATAGTATGAAAGCATCATGAACCTAATTGATGGAGAAGTGAATTTGCATCCACCTTTGCTGAGTAGTTAAAGAAGAAAGCGATGAAAGTTTCTTTTTAAAAAAAAAGGGGGAAAGGACATGTTTCTTGCAGGTTGCTTTTTTCACTTTACAAATTTGTTTACCCTGGAAGAATCAATGGTGATTGGACACATGGTGCAATTGATTATTTTGCAACAGACAGCTGATTTTTTGAAAAGAAGGAAGTTTTTAGCAGAACTGTTCGAAGTTCATAGTCTGCTGTTTAATACTAGTAAACATCCAGCAGAAAGGATGTCTCTCTTAAAATTTCACATGATCACACCATCCTTTTAGGGTGATATGATCAGAAAAAACACGTAGACCCCAAGGTGTCCTCCAGCAAGGTGACTCCTGTGGCATGAGCTCCCACTGCCTTGGGGAGATACCCTTAGGTCTTAGGATGGGGACAGTGATGCTCTCAGGTTTGAATTTTCAGTTTCTTAACCAGCAAGGGTTTTCTGCTAATTTTTCTTGAGTTAATAATGCAAATAAACGTGCCTTGAGCTGTTCAAAGAGCATGTGTGTTGAAAATAGTTTCTTTTGCCTAAATGGACAGCCTTTCCCCAGTGGGAGCAGTTGTTTATTCTCAGTGCATTGGTGCCTGACTAAATGCACCGGGTCGCATTCTGCATGTATAGACGGGACAACCTTCTTGCTAAATATTCCTGTGTGCTCCAGCGGTAGGTCTGGGGAGGTTCCAGCCTGCCTTGCAGGCCAATAGCAGCCCCAGCCTTGTTGGCAGGGAGGGGAAAGCCAGCTATGGGATGCTGTCACAGCAAGCCCCAAAAGAGTTTGGCTGAAACTGGTTGTACCTCATATAAAAAAGGAGGTGAAGAATCTCAGCTGATCAGAGTACGGAAGGTCCTTGGGCATGCACCATAGAGCATATTGGTTTTGAGGTCGATAGTTCTTTTTTTACAAGGGCTGCAAATTGCTGTTACATAGTTAAGGACTGTAGGAAGAAGCAAGTTTTCCTGAACTTTACTCCCAGCTTGAACTTTTAAGAAGTCAAGTGAGAGGCAAGGAAGGGGAGAGAGGGAGGTAGACGTACCCTCACTCACGCCCCACCGTCTGCAGCGACTAGGATGTCAAATGGAAAAAGCCTGGAGAAGCAGCTGAATGGCTTGGGGGAGCAGGGGAAGGAAAGGAGCCGCATGTCCCTGGTCATCTCTCAGGCAGTTAACCGCAGTATTTTCACCTCTGCAGTCTCCCCTGCGGCCGAACGCATCCGCTTCATCCTCGGAGAGGAAGATGACAGCCCAGCACCCCCCCAGCTCTTCACGGAGCTGGATGAACTTCTGGCTATCGATGGACAAGAGATGGAATGGAAGGAGACTGCAAGGTGGGTCGGTTTTCCCTTACCCCGAAAAAAAGGGAAGCTGCACAGGATTCCCATGGGGAGTTCTTTTTTAATGCTCCAGTGGGGTAATATCTGTGTGACAGGGTCACTGGGGAATCCACAGAAAGGAGCCTGCACAGTTCAAATTACCTTTCTTCAATTCTGTTGCTGAAAAGTACATTTGAGCCTGATCCCACCTCACAGCACAAGTTGGGAGATTTTGACTGTCCCCCTCTCCTAGCAAGTTACTGATGAAATGAATTTTAAATAGGGGAAAAAAAACATCCTGCTTTTTTGCTTTTGAGGAAATTGTTAAAGGTGTGTGTTAAAAGCTGGATGGAGTTGCCTGCTTTGAGTTTCTTGGTTAGGTTTTCTGCCTATTTCTTTGATGCTGCTTGTGGCTTGGTCAAAAAACCATGTCACAAAGCCAGCATGGGTTTTCTTATCTGCTTGACACAAGTTACATCTGAGCCACCACCAAAAGAGCCATTAAAATCTTTTCCTTGGGTTTGCCTTAAAAGGTAAACCCCTGATTGCAGTCTGTGAAGGCCTAAACTATCCCACTACAAAGAGGTGCTCACCAGCCAGAGAGCATTCTGGGGCTCTGCCTTCCCTCCTCCCGAACCCTCTCATTAACTTGGGGCTTTTTCTTTTCCTTAATTGTGGCTGGGCTAAGCTCTTTCCCCACCTTCAAGTCCTAAGGGCACCCTACCGTGTTCATCATTAGCCCATCTTGTTTGGTTGCCTTAATATTCTTCACCCACCACCTACCTCTTTACCCCCTTATCTTTCTTTATTTTTACTTTTTGGACACTTGGAGAGCCTATTTAAAGACTTTTCACCTTTTACTCTCTAACTCCTTATTTGTTGGTCATCCTTTCTCCCTTTATTGCTCTTCTCTCCTCTTACCATTAGTTCAGCACTTGCATTTTGTCACCTGCAGTGCCTACCTCTCCTTTTTACAGCAAAATATGCTTTCCTCTGTGCACAGGTCTTTGGGAAGGGGTTTCAGTGACAGTTGGATGAAGCTTTTCCACGATTTAGCCCTTAGTGTGGTATTTTTTAAGGAGCAGTCTCTTTGGTCTCTCCTTTATAGCAAAAATGCAGGACAGATCCCAAAGCACTGCTATTTCTTGAGGGATATGAGTGATATCTCAGGCTGTCAGGTGGCTGTGGAGAAAAAGGGGTTTTGATTTCTTCTCTGGCAAGTGGTTTCTGGTTTTATGTCTTTCCACACATCCTTGGTAGAAGTGCTGTTTGGAGCTGTGTATTCAACTCTCTCTCTTTGAAGATACATGTATATGTTATCTGCTCTAAGCACCTTGTGGAGGCACTGGGTAATTCTTAAACTTGGCCGAGCCTCCTCTTGTTGATAATGATCTTACATAGTGTATGATTTTTCTGGATTTTTCAGTATCTTCCTGAGATGACTTAATCTTGCACAGCAAACCCTGTCTGTAACCCTGACATAGCAGCAGAAGCTGGCTGGGTCTGTGCTTCAGCGGGCAGAGATGCTGCAGCTCTTCAGTCTAAGACTTGACAGGGTGTGGAAGCTATTAGGAAACAGTATATTATATAAAAAGGTTTTGTGAGTTACACCATCTCTTCCAGAGCTGTTCTGGTCAACAGAAAAATAACTGGTACATGTCACTGAAAATTTCTATCAAGAACTGATTAAAAGACTTTTCCAAAAAGGGACCTTTAGTTGCCCATCCTGGTTCTTGTTTCTTGTGAGTTCAGCTATCTGTGTTGCAACTCCAGTATAAACAGGCTGTAGTTGTCCCCCTGCACATGATGGCACTTCTCTGACAGTAGGTAAGATCAGCCCATGACCAAGACTCAAGGGTGTTCTTTGTGCCCCCTAGCCTGTTAGCCCATCATAGTGTTGGGCCATGGGTCACAATAAATGGCTGCTTTGGAGGAACATTCTTAAGTCTACACAGGGTTCTGCGGCAAAGCCCTGTCAGTGCATTAGAAATAGAGCAGTAAAAGGGAAGGTTTATTGCTGTTGGAAGGCAATGTGAAGATCTGGGTCGCTGGATGCTCCTCATTCATTTTGTTGGGCAAGTTCTTGCACTAACATGTGAATGTTTGCATTTCAGTGGTAGTTACAGGATACAGAGCAAACTAAGAAAAGATCTGCAGCAGCTGGAGGCCACCAGTCCATTTTGGGGGCTCAATACAGTACATTTGGGGACCAGGATGTGTCCACCATGGGGTGGGCGTTGTTGTTCTGCAAGGCAGGGAGACAGCAGAAACATCAAGAAATTACAAAGGAAAGGAAGGAAAGGACTGTGGGTTGGTGGATTGTTATTTTTTAATCTTGTATTATGGTCTTCTTTTTATTATATTCTCTCTGACAGGCAGTGCATCTTCATCCTTCACCCCTTTACACCTTGTAATGTTAAAGTACCTTTTACATGATCGGTTTTGAGGCTTTAAAAAGAGAAGCTGGCTCCTGCTCTGGGCTGGCAGAGGTGCTAGCTGGGCTCACAGGCTGGCCGGACCTCAGAACCACAGGCAGTTACTCCGGAGGCAGCCAAGGGTGCTGGTGGCAGATTGTTCTCCCAAGTCTTAGCCCTTTGGAACCAGTGATGCTGATGGGCACCTGAAATCCCAAGTCCCCAGTGCCAGGAGAGCCTTTCTGGAGCTGTGGGCATAGTTTCCAAGGCCCTCAAGGTGTAACAGACCATGGGTCTCTGTGTCACACTGTACTGCTCATCTGATGTGGCCAGGGAATGGTTGCTCATTATGGCAAGGGCAGTAGAGCTGGCAAACAGGAGCTACACATGGATGTCAGGAGCAGAGCGGGATAGAAATAAGGAAGGGAATTTGATTGTTTTCTCCATCAACAGTGGAGAGAATCTTCTGCCCTGAAGCAGCCTGTTGGTGCTAGGCTGCAGCCAGTGCTGCTTTCAGCCCAAAGAAACCTGTGAGCAAAAGTCATTCTGAAGAAGCAGATTTTGGGAAAAAAACCCATCAAGGCCAAGGCATGGGTTAAACATAGGGAGAGGCACATGGATAGCTTGTCTGAACCCTGGTTTGCAGAGGGAGATGGTTTGAATGCCCTGAATAGAGCAAGCAGGAGTTCAGGTGGGTTTGCCAGGGAAATGTTGTTTTATTGTATTTGTATTGTGGGTTGTAGTGAGAAAAGCAAACAGAAAGCAAATATTGATTGTCCTGGATAATACGCTCACACCAAAAAGGAAAACACTTTGTAGTTTGCAGCCTTTGTGCTGTAGTAGGACAAACTGTATCACTGTATCTCAGTCACACACAGTATACTGCCTTTGAAATTCACAGGCTGGCAGCCTGAGTCCCTTCTGCATCCTAGGAAATATCTAGGTTTTGTGGCCTGAATAGAAGCTTATTAATTTGAGATCAAATAAAATAAATTTTTTAAAGGCTCAACATGTATGCAATTGAAAAGCATAATTGATCCGCAAGTAATAAATTTTTCAGGATTAAATATAATTTAACTTGGTGTTAATAGTATTCTTTTGCACCAGTTTATGAGCTTCCTTACCTTCACATGTGTGTTTTTTGTCTTAACAATGCCCTTACATTAGTCACTGAAATTTTCATTTTCCACATCTATTAAAATAGTATCTCACGACAGGACTAGAAGGCACTTCTGCTTTGCAATGCGATGATGTTAAATCACTTTCCTTTACCTGCACTCCCACCAAAGCCATGGCTGGGTGCTGCAACAAAGGGAAAAGGCCCACTGTGGTTTTTTTTTTTCCTTTTCCCAGTGCAGGGAAGGTAGGAGCCAGCTGACCTCTCATCCCAGCACCCCAGCTCCATCCTGGGCTCCCCGCTGCTGTGGAGCCCCAGGCAGGGGCAAGGCTGGAGCTAGAGCTGGGCTGCAGCCTGCCATGTGGGGAGAGGACCCTTCTTCTTGCCTGCTGTTAGGTTACAGTTTCAGGGGTAGAAAGAGTATTTTGCACAGAAGAGGATTTAACCTTTGCTCTAGTCTTCAACTAGAGGTGAGCTTTCTGTTTTTTTCAGACCTGCTTTGATAAATCATTAAACAACAGCTAGAGAGTGGAGGGAAAGAACAAGCCCCTTAATTTGGGCCTTTGCCTCTGGAGGCTCACTTGTTCTGCTGAGGTTTGGTTAGGATGTTCTCTTGTCCTCCTTTGCCTTATGCCAGCCTGTGGGTATGGGGGAGCATTATTTGGTGCTGCTGAGTTTTGGCAGTCTGAAACTTTCAGGTTTTATTGTATTTGAATATTCAAATGCAGACAAGTCGCCTTATTACCAGAAATGCTGATTTCCCCACCACTACCACCCATCCTTTTTGTGGAGCTGTAGTGCTCAGCCCTTCTCACTTGAGATGTGTGACTCGCTTATTATTACCTGACTCTCCCTCCATTGGGTGTGGGGAGGTAGTGGTCAAGTGGTGGTGGTTGATTTGATGCTGTGCCAGGTTAGCTGGGGAGGGGATTCCTAGGTCTCAGCTGGGTTGCTGAAGCTACCTCTGTGCTGCAGGGTGTTAGTCTAAGTCATGCTGAAAGCTATTAAAGATAACATGTCTTACCTCCCGTATGCAGTGGCTGACAAGCAGACAGAGCATTGTCCCTGCTCAGTTATACCAATTCATTAAGTCTTTGACACTTGATCATGGGTTTGTGGCCTTGGAGAGATGCTGGAAAATGTGTGTGCACTTGCAGGATGCCACAAGGGGTCATCTGCCTCGTGTCCTGCAGAGATGTGGGTCTGCAAAGGAGCCAGCAGCTCTAACACCATCTCCTTGCGCTGCCCTCTTGTAGGTGGATCAAGTTTGAGGAGAAGGTGGAACAAGGCGGAGAGCGATGGAGCAAACCTCACGTGGCCACCTTGTCCCTGCACAGCTTGTTTGAGCTAAGGACATGTATAGAGAAAGGTTCCATAATGCTGGATATAGAGGCCACTTCTCTCCCGCAGGTGGTGGGTAAGTAAAGTTGCCTTGGCTCTTCCCCTCAGGTCTTCTCTGGAACTTTTAATTAACCCTGACAATGCTGTCACTGATGGTTTTAATGCAAAAAGCACTGCTTTTTAAATAAAGGAGGAAAATAAAGAAATAATCCTCTAAGGAGTAACAGGGGAAACTAAAAATACAGGTAGAAGGATAACAGATAAATAAGAAGAGTAGTACTCAGTTCAGGAAGAAATGTAAAAAAATCCACTTCAGTGATAATTAGTGCTTACCAGGAACTGGTTTTTGGTGATTGTATAGAATCACAGAATAATTTTGTTTGGGAAGGACCTTTAAGATCATCAGGTCCAACCATTAACCCAGCACGGCCAAGTTCACCACTAAACCCTGTCCCTCAGCACCACATCTACACAGCGTTGAAATCCCTCCAGGGCTGGTGGCTCCACCAGTTCCCAGGGCAGCCTGTGCCAGGGCCTGAAAACCATCCTGGTGAAGAACTTTCTCCTAATATCCAATGGGAGGATTTCCCAAGGTGGGCTGCTGAAGTTAGGTGAGGCTCCGCTTCAGATGGGGTGGTTGCCTGCAGCAGAGGACAGCAAGGAGCAGCTGCTTCACTGAGCTGCTTCACTTGGCTGAACAAGATAGCTTTTTTTTTGGTAGTCAAAATATCTGTGGCTTGGGATGACAGTGACGTTGCTGAGAGCTATAGCATGTTCCCAATGACGTCTGAGAAGACATGTGAAAATAAATTTTTAAAGTGAGCCATCCAGTGGAGGTACATTTAACCAAAACTCTGAGCTTAGAAGCCATTGGGTGAAGAGCTGCAGAAGAGAAAAATGAAATAAAACCCCCAGAGAACTCAATGCCTTGAAGTATAACCTCAGGGAGTAGGCTTAAAATTGTCCAGGCACAAGATTGTCAAATATCGGTTGCTGCATGAGTTTGTAAGACTTAGAATTGCAAAAGCTGTTTCTGCTGTCATCTACAGAATTTTGAACTTAATTTTGTCAGCGCTTATGGTGGCATTTATCTTCCTTTCGTTTTGTCTCTGTGTATCCAAACACAGAGCTTTGCAAAATGAAGAAAAACAGCAAACAAGCAACCAACCAAAAGACTCTGAAGTTTTTCTGCTGAAGCTGAATGTACTTCAAAAGATGAAAGAGAGCAGCTGATGTCAGTGGTCTGTGACTTCAACCCTCAAACATGAAATTTCTTTTTGAAGTCACTTCAAGATGTCACCTTCAATATCCTTCTTCAACACCCAAATAAAATCTAATTCCTGAGAGACTAAATTACAAATCAAGGCCTTCTGTCGCTGTAACACTGTTCTGAGCAGGACACGTTTTCTGGCCCAGGTCCTTAATCAGATAGATAGGGATGTCCAAGTAGCCTGCAGACTTGGTTTCCAGAATTATTTAATCATCATCACTTGGTTGGTGTCTAGCAGTGACATGCAGGAAAGAAAAACTCAGAGCTTTCTTTGGTGATTTGTGTTATATCCGAAACATGGGCAGGAAGAAATCCTTGCCTGCTGTAGAAGGATAAACTTGATTAAGACAGACATGTTGTTCTGAAGGAGGTACTTCAGAAATCCCCAACAAAAAAATGCAAACAACAAAAGCTTCCAGAAAAAGGGGACTTTACAAAGATAAACCTTTTGCCAACATTTTGTCACCGTACCTACGTGCATGTAGCCATCTTTTGTTGAATTTGGGTGGAAGAGCAAGACTTTGTTCACTTGTGCTTTGAAGAGGCAGTAATTCTTGGGCAGTACACAGAGGGTGACTTTCTGACTCACTGAGTTAGCAAATGCAATGCATGTTCTGCCTCCACTTTCCCATAACTCTTATTATTAGCACAAATAAAAGTTACTGGTAGACAAATAAGAGCTGCCACTTTCCCTTGGGGGACAGCCTGTTAACTGAAGTAATCAAGGGAATGACTTAATGTGAGATTTAATGCACAATAGAGGTTCTTAATGAATCTGACTCAATTTTTTTAAATTTTTTTTTCTGCTCTGGGATGGGGGAGCAGAAATTAGAGAAGTGGTAGAAAGTGAGCAGCCTTTGCAGGGAGCTGGGAGCCTTTTTTCCTGGTGATTCAGTTAAAGGCAAAGCCATGTAATACATCCTGTGACAAATGGAGCAAGTTCTGCCTTTTGTAGTTGCCGTCATTTTACTGCAACTCTTTGAGTGAGCGATTTAATTAGTTACTCATCTCCAGGACTTTTTTCCTGTTGTTAGATCAGTTTTTATGGGGGGCCTGTGAGGTGAACCCGGGTAATCTGATGGAAGTTTTGCCATTTTATTTTTGGGAGCACACCAGATATTGAACTGTGGTTGTAGCTTCTTCACAAAAATAGAGGGTCAGAGGAGATTCCCCTCCTGAGCTAAGAACCATCTCATTCTGATTACACTTGGTTTCAAATAGGCTCAGTGGTGTCTGAAAATAACAAAAGGGAGGCTCGGTGCAATAGGTACCTGCTGCTGACTGATGGGTTTTGCTGGATGAAAATGCGTATGTTTTGTTTCCAAAGCAATATCTAAAGGAGATTCTCATTCAAAATGAAATGGTGAAACCTGGTTTTGAGGTGGAAGTTATCCATCTTCCTTGGTAGAGCTGACTTTGGTGCTTTGTTATTAACTGTCCTCTCCATCACCCCTTTCTTTGCGTGTGACAGAAATGATTGTTGACAATCAGATTGAGACGGGACTTTTGAAACCAGAGCTGAAGGACAAAGTCACCTACACACTACTCAGGAAGCACCGGCACCAGACCAAGAAGTCCAACCTGCGTTCCCTGGCTGACATTGGAAAGACCGTCTCCAGTGCAAGTAGGATGTTTACCAACCCCGATAATGGTAATGCAGAGGCTAACTGGCTATAGCCTTCCCTTCTAAAGCAGCCCACCAAACCTGCCTGCCCACAACTAACTGCGTTGCTTTGACAAAGCTTTTCTAACCCCTGATTAGTGTAGCGAGACCCGTGCTGACAGCATGTCGGTGGTGGGCTCTGGAGGCTGCTTTGGCCGTGGCACATTGCTCTAAACCTATCTTCACTGGACTGGCAGACAGAGGAGGGGAGTTGGCAGCCAGGCAGGCACAACAGGAGGCAGGGACATGCTCTTGCAGCTGGATCAGAGGATGTGATGTAGGAACAACCATAGGAAAGAGATGTACCAAAAACTCCCACCATGCCTGACCCTAAAAGGCTGATCGTCTGGAACGTTTGGGCAGCTTTTGTACGTGGTCAATTTCTGTACCAGATGGTATTGGTGGCACTCTTTAGTCAAAAGTGACATGACAGTAACACCTAGTCTGCATTTTAGTGTCATGCAGTCATCGTCCAGTGTGGGTAAAGCTGATTTCCATCTTGCTTTATTCATCCTAAAATGGTGTTGTCGTGTACATTGTGACTGTGTCTCTCTCTGTCTGAGAACAGCCTCACAGGCAGTGTTGTGTTGATGGTGGTGTCTGTAAATGTGTGTGTGCGCCCAACGCAGGCAGCTACAGAGGCCTGGCCAGTCACTCTGGACTTACACATTGAGATCAGCTGTCTCCTTACCAATGGTAGACAGAAAAAAGGAGGTTTCAGCCTTTTGTCACATCTTGGAGTTCTGGCACCTGCCTCCTGTTGCAGCCTAGAAATTTGCTGAAAAGCTGGTATTTGAAAATACCCAGAGATTAAAACAAGGGAAGAAATTATATTCTTCCTACATTTAAGGCCTCTTAGCTTTCTGTGTTCTGCTTCTAAAACTCACCCTAACATTTCTCCCTAACCTATTCCTATAATTCATTAATATTTTCTGGTTTTTATCATAATTTGCTTTTGCAACAGGTGTGTATGTGCATGTGAAGAATATGTATTGCTCTTGATGATGCATCTTGTCACCTATGAGTGCCCAGATAATGCAGTGAATAACACAAAGGTGCAATAACAGCAATGAAGGGACTGTTCTGGGTGGGCAGCTTTAAGGTGAATATCCTTGCAGGAGTCCAGTGGAGCAAAGAGAGGGACTGTGCTTGGCCAGGTCCAACAGAGGTCTCATTCAGGAGCTCAAGTCCTCCTCCTCAAGACTCTCTGCTCATTTCCTGTTAGCCTCAGGCATTTTGCCTCTGATCTCAGCTACCTCTGTGACTGGTATTATTTGTGGACCTTTGAAAAGGTGAACAGGTTTGCCTTGAGGAGAAGGGTCCTGGGCTGTAGCCATGCTGTAGGGGAAGCATAAGATGGATGTGTCTTTAGGACACATCTCTTGGGTGCTTCAGTCACCTTGTGCATGGTGAAGGGGATGCCCTTGATTCTGGGCTCCAGCCTCAAAGCCCTCTCCTGCAGGTAGGCAGGCTGCCGAGGTTATGGTGACATGGAGAGGTTTTTCCAGGCTGGCCCATGGTGTTTGGGCAGTGCTCTGCTTCTTCCCATCTGGTGGTTGAACAGGTAATCAGGCTGAACGTTTCATTCTGAGTACCTGTCTCAGGGAGTTCCTAAGGAGGGGAAATGTGAGGAAACCTTTAGGACTGACTATGTGGCATTGCTCTGAGTGGTGGCTCCTTCAGACACACCCAGCGGCTAAGTGAAGAGGTTAAAGTTGTCCATCCATCTTCTACTTCTGTATTACATCTATTTTTGCTGCACCATGTTCTTGGAACAGGAGTCTCTTTTTTTCAGCAGCTGGTGAATGCTATATTCTTCCTTTTCACAATTCCTCAAGGAGGCATCAGCACCTCAGGGGATTAAAGGTAAATTAAAGCTTAGGAGATCTGAAGGTAAAATGATGCACAGGGCATTAGTGAACTCCACCCTGGATGGTAAGCCCTGGTCTCTTTACAGTTGGAGCTAGACTTCCAGGGCTGGATAAAGAGAAAATGCTTGACCTGGAAGTTGGGTGCTTCCAAAGCGCATTCATCTAAGTCCTCATTCCAGTCCCTGCCTATTTTTCACATCCTTTATTCAATCCTAGGTGACTTGGGTTTTCATCCATTCATCCATTTCCTTTTCATGTTTGAAGCAGCTGTGCTGGTCCAGTCTTGGACTGATTCTGAAGAACTTATTTCCTGGCTCTACTTAGCCTGCTGGCTTCAGCCACCGTGTTCATGTTGGTTTGCTTCTATTTTCCCACCTGGGATATTTATGTCTTGTGAGAATGTAGAATGCATCATATTCCATGACAGTCCAAGTGATTTGAGACTTAAGGAGGGAGAGACTTACATACAAAGGGAAATACTTCATGAATAGCTGTTACTGTTATTTATTATTTAATGAAAAAGTAACTCCAGAATGTATTTGAGTGAGTCATGCCACACCCCCGAGTTCAATGAGGGCCTCTCGTGTGCTTCTAAAGTCATCTCTGAGATGATGAGAGATGAAAGTTTAATGAGGCCCACAGGAGCTGTGTCTCAACACAGCTAATCACAATAATGAAAGTGCCAGCAGCCCCGAGCGCTCCTGAATTTCCCTCGAGTTTCCTTCCAGGTAGGTGTTTCCTTTCAGTGTCTCCCTTTCGTTTCAGTATCTGAGACTTTCATCCAATATTGATGATGCCAGGAGCAGCAGCCCCTCTCTGCATCGCTTACTCCTCACCTCTGCACACCAGCTTTACAGGCTGCTGGACTGGGGAAGCTGCTTGGCTGGCAGTTACTGCCTTTGGAGAAAGGGAGAACTTATCTCTAACTCACCCATCAGACACATCAATATAAATGGCAAAGCTCCCTGAGCATTTAATGGACCCAGTTATTTTTTGTTCATTAAGGGTCATTAATTAAACACTCTCTACTGAAACTGAACCAGACCCTGCAGTACGTTATGTGTAAAAGTATGATGTTCTGGCTCTCACTGGGCAGTAGGAATTGATTTGCAACCTCTGATTTTGATAGGTACCGAATTGTGTTAAATTACTTGCAAAACCATTTCTTTAGGAAGCACTTTAGCATAATGTCACTAGCATGGATCCTGCCCATGATTTTCCTTCTTTTATTTTTGTTCAGGGCAGTTAGGCTTAAAACCCAAATTACGTAGTGCCAAATATCTTCAAGAGTGTTTGTTAGATCTGAAATTTGGAAATATCCCCTGGGCGATGGTTCTCAAAGATAGAGAGATGCCCGTCTCTTACTTCAGAGTGCTGAAATAAATAAATCTTAGAGGCTCTAAAATTTTCCGTGCCTTTCCTTGTTTTGTTATAAGCTTGTAGAAACTCCCATTCTGATATTATATGTGATGATAATTAAAACTTCTGAATGTGTCCTATGATATTCTTTATGTATAAAGCAGGAAAAAAGGTAAATGAGCGGAAGTTGCAAAGATTTTGCCTGTGAAAAGGAGTGTATTTTCACTCTGTTGTGTAGTATTGGAAATTGCTCTATACAGCTCACCTGGGTTGACTGTGGCTCCATGGTCCCTGGTAGCAGAGTCATCCTCTACCCCCTCCTTTAATTTCATGGCTCCTTTTGAAGGTAAGACTCAACAGCAATCAGATTGGCAGGAGCACAGCACTTCTGAGCAGCAAAGGTGTGTGCTGAATGCCTTCAGTTCAGTTCTGCATCACGCAGCTTCGTGTTTTGATCGTACTTGGGGGACAAGGTTTCCTCAGAAATCCTTTTTCTCTTGGGAAAGAAATCAGGCAAAAACTGGTAGTTTCTTAGGTGACATCGGGTGGAGGAGGAGAAATCAAAGCACTCCTTTGCTGACCCTTCAACAGGAAGAAGATGGTTATCAAAAAGATGAGCAGATGAAGCTGGACCAATTATTCAGTTACCTTTTGAAGACACCACCCTTTATAGATTCTCATATTGGGAGAAGGTTGAGCTGTAGAAAGTGTTCCCTAAGGACATTGTGTTTTTACATTTAATTGGAGCTCCTGCAGGGGTTTTTAACAGTCTTTTTGTGCTCCTTGTTTTGTTGCCTGGCTCTCAGGAGTTCTTTGTGTCCTCGCCTGACACAGGGTGCAGCACTTGACGTGAAGGCCTGTGATCACTAACACAGAGGCTAGTGGTCCTCCCACAGCCCCTGCCAGCTGGCACACATGGACCTGTCACTCTATAAAATGAGAACTGTGGTCACTGTTCTGCAGGTGCCTGGGGACCATCTCATCGGTGGTTACCAGTCCTTTCGGGGTGACATTTGCCATGTGGATTTGACATTTTCATTGAAAAGCTTCCTGTCTGCCAGCATTTTGTATAATTTTACCCCTGGGAGACCCTGTGGGGCAAAAGCCTTGAAGAGAAGTGGGTGACTTGTACTAAAACCAAGCTGCCAGAGGCTGTAGGCAACTGTGATGTGTTCAAGTGTGAATGTTCAACCACCATAAATGATGGCACATTGCCCATCACCATGTGGATGCTGTCTGTGCTTCCCAGACACCTCCTGAACATTATTTGCTGACAGTGTAGTTTGGAAACAGTTGAGTTAAAATAAAACTGACGTTGGCAACACGTTGGCTTATGCTCTGAGAGAAAGAGAGCTAGCAACAGGGCAAAACTTTCCTCTTCTAGAGTTTTTACTTGGAGTTCAGCTTTATTCAGTAAAGTGTCTTTCATACCAATTGCATCCTCAGTCCCTTTAGAGAGTTGAATGATGTTGTCAGTGGAATAATAGCAGCCCAGGAGGTTAAGTCAGAAATGAGATGTTTTCAAGGAACGCTTGGAAAACCCCACTGACGGTTTCAGCTGCTTGCATGGTTTGAAGCATTGCAGACACAGGTGTGTGTTTCCAAGCCCAGATTGGTGTTCTAGGATACATACATGGTCAGGATCCTCCAAGCTGGCTCCTACAGGGATGTGCCCTGGTTTGTTGTCTGTATGTCTGCCATTCTGAATGACTGCCCTGCAGCTTGGGGCTGCTCAGCACAGCACTGCTTTCCTCAGGT